GGTTTGAGTGACAATGAATTGGACGACAAGTTTGGCGCCGAAGACATCAACGACGATGGCATAGCAGTCATGGCGTGTGAAATGACTGACGAAGACGGCGACGACTCGGAAAGCGAAGGCAATGAGAACAACAATCATATGAATGAAGAGTTAAATAATAACCCCAATGAATTGAATGACAACTCAAGTGATAATCAAAAAGCGAGTGAAATGATCACAACATATAAGACACGGAAACGAAAGTACACATCAATGAGACGCAAAGGTTATGACAGCGAATCTGAAGAATACGATTCTGGACTCAACGAAGATTGGGACGCGTACGTTCCGCACATAGTGTACGCGTATAACACGGCATCGCATCGAACGACAGGTTATACACCGCATTACTTACTATTCGGCGACCACCCAATCGACACTTTAGAAGTGGTACTCAAACTGCATCGACCCGAGGACGAGATCGAAAGACCGATGGCGTTCGGTAACCTCGAAATCAGCCGACGCATAGCTAAAGCAGCCGCAGAAAGAGTACAACTCCAAAACAAACGCCGAGAAGACCCGAAACTACGAGAAGTCAACTACAAGACGGGAGAACAGGTGTTACTCCGCAGACCAGAGATTGAAAGGGCGAAGTTCAAGAAACTAAAGGACAGATATGCGGGACCGTATTTAATAGTCGCTGAAATCGGCCCAAACAATTACATCATTACCGAACCGTCCGATCAATACTTTGATGTCGTGAATGTGGAAAGACTTCGACTATTTAAGGACCGAAACCAAGAAGACGACGACCAGATTCTGCCCGAACAGTTGCCGTTCCAATACAATGGCGTAATGAAACGTTGGGCTGGAATTGTAGAACACGACGAAGACATGGAAATCGACAAATCGGGATCAGAAGACCAAGAATTCGTGGAATTCGATGACGAGGAAGAATCGGACACTGAATCGTCGATCCCGGAAGCAAATGTAAGTCCGCAAATATTTGTGACTAGACGTGGGCGTGTCGTGAAGCCGCGACAGCGCCTGATTGAAGAAAATTAATATAATAGTTGTTTGATTTTCGGCGACAAGTTTTTATTGTTTATTTGTGTTTATATTTTAATCAATCGTTAAGTGATTTTGTCGTCGAAAGTTGTCTAAAATTTTAAATTTGTGTTATGTTTTAAAGTATATAATCATCGTTTTATTATAATGTTTTAACTATTATTTGATGCGAGTGTTGACCAAATCATTGTCACATTCCGTCCGAAGCTATCACTTCCAGTGAATAATAAATTTGTGATAAATAATTCAAAGTTTTAATCAACGAAAAACTCAACGAAAACCAAAGAAAAAGTGAAAAATAATCTGAAAAAAGAATAAAAATAAGAAGTTTTATATGTTAAGCACTTTTGATATAATGTTTACCGATATATGTATGTGTGATAAGCCAATCAAAGGGGATTTGATATGTGATTCGCCGATACCATTGCATAGCATTGCATAAGTATTGCATAAGTAATGTGAAAGGAATGTAATGCATAAGTGGGAGTAATAATTGCCAAAAACTTGTTTCGAACACAAAGAGCCGTTAAAATTCTTTAGCAAAGCAGGCATTGAGTTATTCAATAAGTGCTAGAAGGTGTGAATCGATTAAAGACGAGACAGTAGCGAGTGTTTCGCTGAATACAAAACTTGAAAATAGACATTTTTGAGTCGATATAGATTTGCGTTATAATGATGTTCTGTAAGATTTTGCGATATCTGGGCAGAAAAATTAGGCCGGCGATGGACCTGATGTACCAGTGTTTGGCGGATCAATTGATTGGTGTCGATGACAGCAGTGGGATAGACGCACGACGAGTGCACGCGTTAGGCGTTGAAGACACCGTGGTTTTGTTGGACAATCAATGGATGGTCAAGGTGGACAGTGATGGCACCGCAGTCAGGGCTCAGATGAAGAAGAAGACGAAGAAGAAGAAGACAGTCACTGCTATTGGTGATAATACGGCTGAAGAATCGAAACCATTGCTCTCGTAATTGTATCTCTCATTATCGGCGAATCTTTTAAATTTCATGTTCTTTTAATTGTATAACAATTGCTCATTCGGTGCCAAAAATTTTAATATATTCTCAATCGATATGATAATCATTTATTCTTTCATTTAATGAATACCTGTTGAACTATAAGTTCTTTAATATAACTTTGATCTCATTTTTTGCCGAAGAATCCTCTCTTTTAGTAATTTTATACTTGTTTTTAATATTGAAATTTGATTTTTATAATAATTCGGCGAAAAATCTCGAGCTTAAGACTACTTGTGACTAAAATTTGATAATTTCATAACTGTTTGTTACTTAATATTTCGCTGCCAAAGGGTAATCATTAATAAAAGTGTTTGAAAACTGAAGCATAATTTCAGTCATTGAATAATATGTTAATAACGACGAGAACTCTAATAATGACGTAATTGTTGTACGGCTAGTATTGCCTATCGTCTGTCAATTAGCGATCGAATGTCAAAAACTTTTTGAATACATTGTGTGTACTTATCGTTGGACTATTTGTCATCATTTGATCCGAGAAAATGGCTGAAAGACCGCCAACACCGCCGCACCCGTCGACCAGAAGTGGAAACGAGCTCTGCTGGGACTTACAGTGGAAACTAATGGGCGCTATCAATGAGAAGAAACTTCTTGAGGCCGAAATCAGACGCTTAGAGGCCATTATAGAGCGAATGGACGGCAATTTTGGCCAATTAACTGCAGACAAGGATCAGTTCGAGGATAAGTACAGACGTTGTAGTCATGAGTTGACCACAATCTACGAGGCGGTACTCAATACACATGTCGGGACCCCGAAGATGGTCGCCAATCAATTCAACCTCTTTAAAGCGAATGTTTCCGAAGTCATCGGCGGTCATAACGAGACAGTCGAAGAGATGGAAGGTCTGAGAAGACAACTGGAAGAGAGAGACGCCGACATCACTGGGAAACAGAAGCTCATTAATCGTTTGACAAGTGAAATCGCAGGACACAAGAAACGATTGGATCAATTGCGCGAAGAACGAGACGCCGCGAAGGGAAGAGAGATTCAGGCTTTGGAAGGACCGAGACTTAGGGACACTCTCCCTGAAGAACAGCCGAGTCTATACATGAATGGGATAACTGGATCAGTAGTGGAGGCGACGATTCCAATCGCGCGATTTAGAGGACATGTGCTGAGAAACGGGACACACGATGTGCTCGACATGACTGTCGGTACTTTCTTTCGACGAATGGACGAGTCTATTGCGGGACAACTCATCGATGGAGTTACTCTCGATGACATCGAGATGTTTGTCTGCTATGGAGTGCCAGTCTATGGCCGACTCTTGAACTCGACCGGACAGAGAATAGTCCAACAATTCGCTGCGAGAGAAGTGCTGTTCGGAAAAGTCGTCACTATTAGTGTTGTCCGAAAAGGAGAGATCCCGTCAATTGATGGATTGTCGACGATTAAAGTGACCGGAAGTGGAGCGCAAGACACGCCGTGGGAACCAACTGGAGGCTTCGATCAATACGCCGAACTACCACAAGAATATCAAGAGATCCCGATAGAAACCTGGACCACAGAGACACAGGAGAACCGCGAAGACGTCGACAAACTCAAGGAACAGATCAAATACCAAGAAGTGATTCTGAATAAAATGCTCCGCAAGTTTGGTTCAGAAGCGGGCGATTTGATTATGCAATACGAAAACGAGTCACGAGAGCAAGGGATCGAGGAGAATGTCGTGGTCGAACCGCTATCAGGACAAGAACGAGAACTGATGGCCACTATTAACCCGATTAATGCCAATCTACCAGAAGAAGCGGTTCGAGGAGAAACGACTCGTGAGGACAGCAAAGACGAGGAGATCAGTAACGAAGTCAGTGAGGATTCGGTCGACCCGACGAGAGAAAAAGAGTCGGTGATTGAAAAAATGAACCGTGAAATAGACCCAAAAGTCTTGAGCCGATTAGGATTACGCCGAGACAGAGCGGCGCGAAGAGAGGCTAAACGGGAGGAAAAGGAAATGGAAACACATCTCGATTTGCATTCACAACAAGATCAAGGATTGGATGCAAATGTCGAGCCGATCGGTTCTGATAAACCAATGACTGTTTTTGAGGAGACTAAAGCCCATCGACGAGAGAGAAGACTTGGGTTCATCAAAGCAATGGAAAGAGTAGCCGAAACTCCCGCTGAAGAGGGACCAAACATCACTGTGAGTGGACAACAGGCCATCAATGAGGGCATTGATGAGGAAGGAGTGGCAGTTGAAGGCGAGAAACCGATTTCACCCCACAATCAAGAAGGCGAGGAAGCGATTCTACCCTTCGAGTGATGGACTCATCCAAAGTTTTCGTCGATTTCATCATAACTTTATTATTATAAGTTTTTGTAACAAAACTCTGTATTATTTTTTGATATTTTACTCATCGTTTTCAACTTTTTATTGTATAGCTTTTAAAGCCAATGTTAGGCACTAATTATTTTGTAACAATATTTCGCATTTCACTCTGAAAACTTAATCCCTTTTGTATTGTTTATGCTATGAGTGAAATACTGTCGGCGAGTTTCAAAGAGCACTCTCTCTTATAATTTCACATTTTTTAGTTGAAATCCGGGTATGAAATCCAGGGTTTGGATGAAAAAATCTGGGCTTCGATTGAAAAACAATTAGTTTTGAGACAATAAGTGAGAGTTTTAGCGCTCGACGACAGACAGTATGGTTTGGGACTCTGAGGAGAGAAGTCCTGTTTTTTTGATTGAATTCAAATTTGTTTTAGTTTTAGTTAAACTTTTAATTGTAATCTCATTTTAACCAACTTTTAATGTTTATAACTTTGATTAATCGGCGAATCGTTTCGGTTTTTGTTAATTTTTACTATAATTTCTTTGTATTCGACGAAAAATCCTAATTAAAAGTCATTAATAATTGAAAATCGCGTCTAATTTGTGTGTTTCGGGCGTTGGCCGGAAGTCCCGGAAATCACCGCTCAAATAGGCCCCAGACATACCTCTGAGGCTGACATTCACCCCAATTGTAGTCAATAATAGTCACTCCAAGAAGTATAGGTAGTAGTCGTCGAAACTCAGGTCGTTTTTGGGGATCAGTTGTGAGACAATGAAGGGAAAGTTGGGAACAGAGGTGTAGCCATATGTGGATCTCCGAGTGTTGAGTCAATGAGTCCAGTAGTTGTAGACACAGAACACCCCCCGAAACAGAAGAGTTATCGTCGAGTAGACCTGTAATCGGGAATAAGACTTTCCGCGGCTACAGTTAGCATGGTTAATTAGTATATCTCTATCGTGTATAACGATTTGTTTAATTTTATATCAAGTTTTAAAGTTAAGAAAAAGTTTGTGTTAACAATGGATTGATTGATAATAACGTTAAAATTAATTGAAAAGCATTATACATACAAAACCAGATTTAATAAAACATTTAAAACTTTGAATAACAAACAAAAATGCATACAATATATTGAGACAACTATTAAAACAATTAGGATTACAATCAGCCAATGGTAACGTTGAGACTGTCTAACACACGGTATGTTTTGATTGAATTGATAATCCAATCGACATGAATGGCAACGGGTGTCCAAAAGAGTTTGTAATTGTGTTCACTACAGGGTATGCCCTCTTCAGTGTCTATATTGGTTATGCCGATGAGCACAGCCCGGGATCCCTGTGCGTCCGTGTACTGAATCAATGGTCCGCCCGAATCGCCCTTTAAATTGATTAAAAATTTAAGTAAATTAACAAAAAACTAACTAAACTATTGGTACAGAAGTGGACGTACAGGACATGTGCGGGAAAGGCTCGGTTGGACGGCTGGGGGCGCGTAATCTATCCGCGAACAGAGCAGCCATTCGCACATATTTGGGTCATTTTGCAGCACAACTGCGCCCATTTGTAAGTGCTCTGCGGGAACGTACCGGTCGGGCGTCCAGTACTTGACTCCCCAGCCGTAAATGGTGGCCGACTCGAGCTCTTCGTTGAGCCCCCAGTGATGGTCCCGCTGTTTGGGCAGACATATAGTGTTTGCCAAGAAGTGGATAGAGTTGGTCCGCTTCAGATCCACCGCTCTGTTAAGCATATAGAGGGCGATGTCATAGCGCCGGACACCCGACGCCCACATCTGGTGCCGAAACATTCGGCTCTCATTGACGCTAATAGTGAGTCCACTTTCGCGGTGATAGTTATTGCCCACAAATACGTGAATTCGGGAAAATATATTGCTTTTTGTTGTGTAACTTTGCCAACAATTAAAAGTTTTATAAATTTAATACATGTTAATTAAGTAGTTATTTGACTAAAATAAATGGTTACTTGAAGTTACAATGGGCTGCCGTTACAACCCATCGTTCATTGATGAGACTCCCGGTGCAGGTGTAGTAGTGGTTATCTGTCGGCGAATCGTATTTAATTAGTACAGTGGACGGCGACTCCGCGTACTCCACGTCCCGACCGGCGTATATCCGATTTGTGGCCACTGTTTGCGCCGACTTTGCCTCAAATGAACCAAATATATCGTTAATTGTCTGGTTTTGGACGTCATTTACAAAACATTTGGAAATATAATTGATTTCATGTTTTTTCGTCACATATCGGAGACCGCAGTCCTCGTCGGTTATGTTAGGATAGGAACCGATTTCCACATACATTCCCGATATAACTGTCAATTTAAATTAAATGGCATTTAATTTTTATAATTAGTTTTAATAACTATTAACTTACTTTTACAGGCAATCAAATGAATTACAAATGTTAACATTTTGTACAGTTATATAATTACAATTATATGGGTATTCAAAACAACACAAACAAACTAACCATTCGCTAATTCACATAATTATTAAGTACAAGTAAAATATGTTTAAATTTAAAGTTAACTGTAAATCATAATAACTGTAATTTGTAAATTACATTCACACGCTAATAATGAAATTTGTAATTTTATATCAATTAAAATCAATTTTAACTATATTAATAAGTTTTTTGACAAAATAAATAGTTTTTAAAACTAATTAATTACTATTTATTGTCATTAATTATAAATATAACAACAATTTAATGGTAATTAACTCAACAAAAGTTTCATTCATTTGTAGCAAAAAAAGGCAAACTTTTTGAAACCTAATTAAATCGTAACGTTGTTTACGAATGGGTTGTAAGTGTGAAAGTGGTGTGAATTGAGCGCACATTGACTTCACATGTGTTTCAAATCGTTGGACAAAACAATCGCTTAATTATCTCTTCATTTCATCACTCGATTTGATCCCAAAAAATGTCTGAATCCATACCCACTGTCTTTAAAAAGGCTGATCCAGAGATGGAGTTCTCGTGTCTCGATGTGCGCTTCAAAGACGGCTTAATCGGCGCTCAAGACATACATCACGTGCAGCTGAGCACCGGTTCGCCAACTGTTCCCTCCGGTGACAAACACTTCGACCAATTGTTGCCCATCTCTGACCAGTCGGTCGGCGGCGGCAGCGCTCCCATGAGTCCGGATCAGTCGATTTGGTCGGAAACGGTTTTGACCACTGGTTTCGGTGGCGGCGCTCAGCCATCGATGGCGATGCCGTCCATTCGTCGCGATGGCAGCGATCACAGGGGGAACCGTCCCATCACTTGCTATAACTGTAGGAAAGAGGGACACGTCTTCCGCGACTGTCCCGAAGAGCATCGGCCGCGCAATGGACCCGATTATAGCCAACAGCGAAATGGCGGCCAAAGACACAACAAGTTTAGTCGACCGATCGGTCAACGCCTGCACCAACAGTACGACACGCCGTCGTTGCCGGCCGTCGATGGCGACCAATCCGTGGTCTTCAATGACGATAAGCCCGAAAGCGTGGTCTCGGAACCGGTCGTCAAAGAGACGGTCAAAGATTTCTTCCCTCAGTTGCCGGTCTATCACTTGAGCCGTTCGTTGAGTGACGTGTCGTTTGTCGTCGACGGCCACACATTGTTTGGCCATAAGTTTGTATTGTCGGCGAAGTGTCCGGCATTTGAGCGCATTCTTTAC